AATTAATTCATTCTGATGTGTGGCAATCCATTGTGTTGTCTAATTTAGGATTTAAATATTATGTGTGTTTTATTGATGATTTTTCTCGGTTTACCTGGCTTTATCCCTTGCGTACTAAAAAAGAAGTGTTTACTCAGTTTTGTCTTTTCAAAGCCTTGGTTGAAAATATGTTTAATTTTAATATGCAACAATTTTTGGCAAATTTTTTAATTTAATATGTTTAATTTTAATATGCAAAAATTAAAGTTTTCCAAAGTGATGGAGGGGGTGAGTTCGTTAATTTTAATATGCAACAATTTTTGGCAGAGCATGGCATTTATTTTCAAAAATCATGCCCTTATACTCCCCAACAAAATGGGGTTGCCGAACGTAAACATTGTCATCTCCTAGAACTTGCTCGGACTATGCTCATCACAACATCTATTCCTAGCAATTTTTGGGTTGATGCTATTTTTACAGCTGTATATATTATTAACAGACTTCCCTCCCCCACTCTTTTTGGTATTTCACCATTATAGTTTATTCCGTGTGCTTGCTATCCGAATTTTTCGGCATCTTCTTCAAATAAACTCTCGCCTCGTTCTGTTCAGTGTGTCTTTCTTGGCTATGCATCTGGTTTTAAGGGTTATCGTTGTTTTGAGCCCAAATCTGGCAAAATATTTCACGAAAACATTTTTCCTTATGCCACTTTGTCCTCTTCTGCCGGCCATGAATCCTCTCCCATCCTTGATTTTACCCTCACCAATATACTATTCCTAATTCCCTACCCCATAGCTCTTCCCTGGGACCATTTACTGATCTTACTCGTATGACTCCCATAGCCCCTCAGCCTAGTCTGCCACCTATCTTGCCTAACCTATGTCAACTCTCTGCCTCAATAAACACCTCTCATGCTCCAGGAACTTCCACGCCCATCACTCCTAGGAACGGACAACACCATACTCCTATACAAACTCCACTTATCACGTCCGACCAATCTACTCCCCAAAACCATGACTCAGCTCTTTCGCCTAACAGCCCAGTCTCTTCCACTGCTGCGTCTGAAGCTACTGCCTCGATTCCCGATGACATCCCGGCGCTGCAGCAGTCCACGGTCAGTGAACAGAGTTCTTCTCTGTTTCATGGCCAGCTTACAAACAATCATCCCATGCAAACCCGGGCTAAGTCGGGAATTTTTAAACCAAAAACAATTTTTAATCTCAACACGGTTGCTTTCTCAGCTGACCCTACTTGTTTTACAGAGGCTAATAAACACTTAAAATGGCATGAGGCAATGGCGGAGGAGTTTAATGCTCTTATTTCTAATAATACTTTAATCTCGATTTAGTTCCGTTTGATACTACTAAAAATGTTGTGGGCTCCAAGTGGATTTATAAGACTAAATATAATTCTGATGGTTCTATTGAGCGACATAAAGCTCGTTTGGTTGCTCATGGGTTTAATCAGCAGGCAGGTGTGGATTTTTCTGAAACTTTTAGTCCAGTCATTAAACCCACCACTGTTCGTAATGTTCTTACACTAGCCATTTCTTTTGGGTGGGTTATTCGTCAATTGGACGTTAAGAATGCATTTTTACATGGTCATCTTACTGAGGAAGTTTACATGCGTCAGCTACGGGGTTTTATTCATCCTTTGTTTCCTAATCATTTATGTCGTTTGCGAAAGGCCATTTATGGTCTTAAGCAAGCCCCGCGAGCTTGGTTTCACAGGTTTAGTAGTTTTCTTCTATCTCATCATTTTACATGCAGCAAGTCTGATAATTCATTATTCATTTATCGCCAGAATAATAATATCATTTATTTATTACTATATGTTGATGACATAATTATTACTGGCAATTCTTCCGCTGTTATCACCTCTTTTATTCACCTTGTTGCTAAGCATTTTGCTATGAAAGATCTGGGTGATCTTCATTATTTTCTAGGAGTCCAGGCTGTCCGCTCCGCTAAAGGTTTGTTTCTCTCTCAACATAAATATGTGTCTGATCTTCTCTCTCGCTTTTATCTCCATACCCTAAAGTCTGTTCGTACTCCGCTTGCTACTCGCACTTCTTTATCTTTTACTGATGGGGAACTTCTTGCTAATGTCACTGAGTATCGTAGTATGGTTGGTGCCCTACAATATTTAACTTTGACACGACCTGATATTACTTATGTTGTGCATTTAGTGTCTCAATTTATGCATGATCCTCGTACTACTCATCTTTTTGCAGTCAAGAGAATTTTCAGGTACTTGCAAGGGACTCTTGATCATGGTTTGTGGCTTCAGCCTACATCTCGGGCAACCTGTATCATTGCTTACTCCGACGCTGATTGGGCAGGTTGTCCGGATACATCTCGGTCCACGACTGGCTTTGCAGTGTTCTTGGGTCCTAATCTTGTCTCGTGGAAATCCAAGAAGCAGCCTACTGTCTCAAAGTCCTCTACAGAAGCTGAGTATAGAGCCGTTGCTTATACTGTTCAGGATACTCTGCATATTCGTTCTATATTATTTGAGCTCGGCTATCCTGTTACTGAACCAATTAAATTGTTGTGTGATAACATCTCTGCTTCTTATTTGACTGCTAATCCGGTTCAGCATGCTCGTAGCAAGCACATTCAGATAGACTATCATTTTGTCCGAGAACGTGTGGCTCATGGAGCTCTAGTTGTAAAATACATTCCCACACAGTTACAGTTTGCTGACATTTTTACCAAAAGTCTTTCTAGTCAGCAATTTTATTTTTTGAAAGACAACCTGCGGGTTATATCTCCCGCACAGTTTGAGGGGGTGTAATAGAATATTATTAGGCATATTTGTTTCCTATTATGTATTAAACTCTTTTAGTATAAATATACATGCTAGGACTCGTATTGGAGTACCTTTTCCCAAAATATTCACATTACTTCCACATAGGCACACGTTGAGTGGTGATAGTGCTTGTATCCTTGTAAGAACTGTTTATTGCTCTCCAACATTTGTGACATAAGATGAAAAGGAATGGTGCAAAGACCATGAATCGACAACATTCCCATGCAGGACAAGCATACATACACCAACACATCATTTATCATTACCTTAGTGTTGCAAAGGCTTCCCACCTACGGTGGGGTAAGGGGGAGGACAAGCATACTTTAAAATTTAAAAACCTTAAACAAATAAATTGTTGGGCGTGTTTCGAAAAACAAACCAAAATTAATTAATAAAAATGACTAACGAAAACAGAAAATAGATGAAGCAGAAAATAGCACGATGTCCTTAAAACGTATTTGTTGCCTCCCGGGGTGCTAGGAGCGTTGCAACGATCATTTCCCAGAATACGATGACTATCGAGCAACCGTTTGAGCACTCAAACGATTGTTCCGGCGAACTGGAACAAGTATGAACACGAGGGGAAGTTTTCAGAGATAGGTGCAGTTGTGAATCGTGTATTGTTGTAAACCACCTGCCACCCTTTTATAGTGAAGGATTTGTGGTACGTTAATGACATGTTAATGGAGGTGATCGTTGGACATCAATGGCCCGAACGTTGGGCATTGATTCATCCAAGGGTGGCCTTTTCCTACAGGAATCATAACTTCTTGGAAGGGGTTTCCCTTTATAAAGGGTTCAAAGTCCCTTGGGTTTTCCGGTTTGGAAAAAAATCACACTAGAAACCCATTTTTCCCTAGTTTTTCTCCATTTCAACGAGTGAACTTCGTGAATCAATTTCTCATTCACCCTTTTATCCGTTTTGAACGTACCATATATCGAATTGTAGCCCTAAGCAAGGACAATACGAAACCACTTTGACCCGACCCAAATCGGAAGTGGACCCCACTCAAAAAATTGCCCCAAAATGACCATTTAATGCAATTTATTAACACATTTTCCAACATAAATATATGAGGTTTATTCTCTTAAACGAATCTTGACAAAACTTAAATAGGTCAGGACAAATCAGGACAAACCAATCAAAATAGACCAGGTTTAACAAACAAAATGTCGAAGACTAGAATATGTCCTCCGGACTTTGCTTGTTTAACCACATCAAAGTGTTGAGATAGAGTCGATAGACTATAAACTCGTTCTTCAAGGAGCTTTTATCACATCGTGCCGGAGCATGAGATGAAATTTTGTCCCATGATGGTCCATGTTAACAATGAAGAATAAAAGACTTAGACATCCTATTAAGGGCCTTTAACATACTCCATTTATAGACATTTTACCTGATTGTGTTGTGTTAAACCCCAACAACATACTTTGTACAAGTTTTGTGCATCAACTTCTTGTGATTTCAAAATTGTGTCGAAATCATTGTATTATAATCCTCTTGAACTCTAAATTTAATTGCCAACCAAAAGAAAAATGATTAATATTTTTATATAATTTAGAGATCTTGACAAATTTAATGACATGTTCAATCATCATAATATTAAGACAGACGATTTCAAATTGTTAAATTTATTGCTTCAGGTGTTTTCATAAGTTATAACAAATGCAAGTTCAGCACATTTTTGAAATCATGAGGCAAATGCATAGAATTTGTATATCACAAGAGGTTAGTGAGTTAAACAACGCTTTGCTCATATGACAAGTTGATTGAATTAAATTTTAAGAAAAATGAGAAACAATAAGAGATTTTTCCTAAAATATTACTACATACTAAATTACATCATGTGGACAAAAATGTGTATAAAGTGACTACAATGTAATATAATTATACTCGCTAAAAATTAGTCACATTTTTTCAATTATCCTTATTTTAGTGATATATTAGGTATGATCCGCCAATAGGTTAATGGACCCGAATCCGGTTTGGAAACCTAATTGCAGCGTCACCAGTTGGGTAAAAACCGTTACCGCACTTTCTGTCACAGACCCGGGAATCTGACCATAGCCGGACCCATATTTTCAGACCTGTTAATGCTACACTTGGACTAGGAACCAGCCACTCAGGGGTCTGTCCCACCGACGAGGCATTCAACTTCATTAACAAACAGATACATCCAGGAATAAACTCTTTGCAACTTCAACGTTAATTTGCTATGCAAATCAAGAGCCTTCTTATAGTGTGAGATACTCATTAAAGATCAAGACCATCCTTATCATCAATCAAATGTTATGTTAAGTTTGAATTTGTGTAAATTTCAAAGCCTACAATATATGGTACAATATATGTTTGTGTTAACACTTTGTACACTAGCTATATGGTACATCATGCAGTGGGTGACCTTTCTTGTTCCTTTCTATGATCCTATGAGCAAGAGAAACTTGCTTGCCTACCACAAAAATGAATGCCTTTCCTTTTCCTGCAGCACCTCTTGCAGTTCTCCCAACACGGCGCACATATTCACTTGGATCGCGAGGAAAATCAAAGAGCACTACATGGTCCACACCCACAAAATCAATACCTCTAGATGCTCTGCAAATTATTAGAGAACACCATTTCTTTAAATGCACAATATGACATGAAATCTAGCATGTTTTCTAATACAGCTTCACAGTCTATATTAGCAATAATACCTGTCAGTACAAACTAAGAACAGAGAGGTGTTCTTTGGCTGAGGGCTGCAGAACTCATTCATACTAGCAAGCCTTGCTTCTTGATCCAGAGCAGCATGGAAAGGTAATACTCTAACCAAAGATTCTTTTCTGTCAAAGCGTTTTAATGCATTTTCGACTTTTCTGCAGCTCTCAATCTGCTCATAGCAAAAGCCAAACCGAATTTCATTCAGCACTTTCAACAAGGAAGTTCCTGAATGTATCCTGAAACATACGTACCTTGTTGCAGAAAACAATTGTCTTGGGAACTGGTTTTTCCTCTGCTAATTGTAAAAGAGCATTTTTCTTGTTAAGAAATGCTGCTTCTGGGCTTTTCTCAGATTCATCCCCTCCACTACAATCTACAAGGATCTACAATATCCAATTCAGTTATTAATTCCAGTTATAGTCTTTCCTGCTTAGAAGAACAAACCTTTTAGGTTACCTGAAGTCTAAAGACATTGCTAATAGCTAAGCAGGTTTAAAACTCATTGTGTTTGTTACAGGGATTACCCAAATCATAGCTTCTTTGAAAGGTAAGAAGACAACTCATTTCGAATTTTAGACAAATGGGATATTGCATATTTGTCATTTGAACTAAAACTTTATTTCCTTCACCCTACAAATGATCAGTACCTGATTTAATTGGGTTCAATTTTTGAAATTTTGATACCAAAGATGACAATATATGAAATATTGGTCCCCTTCCTCCGCATCAGTAGGGGTAGGTAATTGTTCTAAGATATATTTCAGAATTCTAGTCAGAAAAAAGAAAAAATTCAATTCTAATGTTCAGTATGCATTTGTGCCAAAAGCTAAAAACATACCTCCTCTAAGCCATTACTTGTGCGATGCATGCCAGGACCGGTTATAAGCTCGCTATCAGGGAAGTTTTCAATCAACTTGTTGTATGTATCAGTTGGTAATGTTGCGGTCACAAACAGAAATTGTGTGGTAACAGGAGAGGAGCTAACCAGACACTCTAGCGCAGTCTCAAAATCTTCATCCTTAAACAGAATGTCTACCTCATCCAACACAGCACTGAATAAAAATTAAACACTGAACCACATAAATAAGATACATTTCTTTTGTATGTAAAAGGGGAAGAAGTAGGGGCAGCATGGATGGATTGGAAGAGATACACACCCTCACCAGGAGATGTATCTAGAAAACCTTTATAGCAGGTTTCTTACTCCTTCCAGAACAAAAAGGGGGCACAGTTTTAAAAATTAGAGGAAACATAGGGAAGAGAAAGAGAAAGACAAGAGAGAAGAGTAAGAAAAAGACAATTAGGGAGAAGAGACTGAATAATTCTTATTGATCTGATGCTCCTAAATCCGAATTATAATGCACATAGGCGAAAATGAGTATTACCATATAACTACACTTCTACAGCTTAAAAATAAAATTACACAAGCTCGTAATAATTTATTCTATTCCTAACATACACACTTATAATATCCTGTCCCTACTTTGGTCTCTTATTAAGTTTCAGGGTTGTATCACAAAGTGAATTGACAAATCGGTCATTAGTCATAAGCAGTGACAAAAGAAGAAGAAAATATACACCTCAAACAACCAAAAAACAAAAGGGAAAGAGAAAAGGTGACACCACAATACACAGAACTCATGAAGTTATGAAATGTTTAGAAGAACATACCACTTGAGGTTTGCTAAAAGCAAGTGGCCCTCTTTAACTAGAAACATGAATCGCCCAGGTGTAGCTATCAGAACATCTAGGTCATGCCTAAGATTTTCCAGTTGAGTTCTCTGTCGGAACCCACCTGTTGCAACAACAGACCGAAAAGGAACACCAGATTTTGAAAATGATCGACAAACATTCAAAACCTGCAAAAGTGACAACAATTTTTTAAAGAAAGAAAGCTATAAATCTCATGAGAACATAAAGTTAAAACTAAACCTGTTTAAATATAACAGTTCAGAAAACAATGGTAATACAAATCGCGAGGCTGCCGAGTCATGATCTTATATTATGAACAATGAACTCTAGGTATGATCTAATTTTACCAATTATTGTTGGAACGGTTGAGAGAAACCACAGCAAATTACTCCAAATTCAGAAGCTAAAGGAGAAGAACAAAGACGATTAATTTGAAATGAGTCGTTCTATCATATTTTGAGCAATTCAATCTGACATTTGTGCTCCACAATTTCATGATTGTTTCCTCCTTCAACCTTCTGGGATTGAGAGCACATTGCTATCCAACGCTCGCATTGAGATCGCACAGTCTCAAATGGAATTGCCCTCTCACAAAGAATGTATGCCTTGGATATTCTTGAGGAAACAGGTGTGCTAGAGTGTAGGCCATTGGATACACCAATGGATCCGAAAGTCAAACTCTTGCCAGAACAAGGAGATCTTTTGCCTAACAAGGAAAAATATAAAAGACTCATCGGCAAACTGAATTATCTTGCCATCACGAGAAATATGGAGGAGACCACCGTGATATTATGGGATATTGTGATGTGGACCGGATGTCTGATGGATAGACGTGCCACTTCGGGATATTGCATCCTGATTGGTGGAAACTTAATATCATGGAAATATAAGTAGAATGTGGTTGCTAGATCTAGTGCTGAAGCAGAATATCGTGCAATGGCCCTTCCTGATTGTGAAATATTGTGGTTGAAGCATCTCCTCCAAGAGTTAAAATATGGAAACAAAAAACCAGTTCAACTCATATGTGACAATCAAGTCAAAATGCACATCGCACCAAATCCGGTTCAACTAAGCATATTGAAGTAGATTGCCATTTCATCCGAGAGAAGATCACAAATTCACAAGTGGACATATCATCACAATTATGTTAACGCAAGTGATATTTTAAGTTTTTAACCAAGTCTCTTAGAGGTCCTAGAGTGGGATATATTTGTAACAAGTTTGGTACATATGATTTATATGCTCCAGCTTGAGGGGGAGTGTGGAAACCCTAGCAGTATTTGATGCTTCACACACCCACACGCGTGCACACACACATATAGACCCACACCCACAAACATATGTATATATGTGTGTGTCTATATGTTTGTGGGTGTGGGTCTATATGTGTATCGGGTGTGAATAAAAAATGGAACTTTCCATGAAAAGTTCAAACGGTGCACTTTTTGCGATGCCTAAAAGTTTTGGCTTTGACTGCACTGTTGACCTATATTGAACCATTACATTTCAAAATCTGGTGCCACAGATTTATTTGCATTTTCTATGGGGAGGACATTTTCTATTTGAAGCACAATCTATAAACACACATATGTGTAATTGTGTATATATATATGTGTGTGAGTGTATAAACACACACTGTACTACCTCTCCTGTTCACCCTCTTTATCAAAACATGTGATTACTCCCTCTCCAATGTGAACAAACTCAACAAAGATGTTTATAAAATTCAGCAATGACAACTTAAGATACTCAATTTAGATAATTGACCGCAGAACATAGTTCCTATGAAACTAGGAGGGGAATTAGACCTGAGAAGCCAACTCAGCTGTTGGTGTCAATACAATGACCCGAGGACTTTGTGATGAAGGTTTATGAAATCCTTGAAGCTCTTGTTCTCTAAGGCATTGAATAAGAGGAAGAAGATATGCCAAAGTCTTTCCAGAGCCACTGTGATCAGAGATAATGCAGCTCTTTCCTTTAAGAACATGTTCAAATGTCATCGCCTGCAATTACATTGAATTCTTATAGATCACTTTATAAGTACTTCAAAATGATTTTCAATAAGCCACAAGAGAAATGTTCTGAGTAACAAGACAATATGCATAAGCTTTGAATATATAACAGTATTTTATAGATAACCACATAAAAAAGAATATAATTTTTTAAGAGTTGAGGTTGAAGCAACACTACTGCGCTTGGAAACAGTGTCACACATGGGGTAGTCTGGTTGCAATTGAACTTGGTGATTGAAGTTGCACTATTTGGGGAAGCACAAAAGGGTCCACCAGTGAAAATAAAATAAAACTGCACCAAAGGGTGCAACCATGAATCCAAAGTAAAATAAATATCACAACAGAAATGAAAATCACGTGCCTTCATGAAAATTATCTTTGAGTTCTTTATTAGTGGTAACACCATAGTTTCAAGTTTTGTATGTAAGATATGATATAATAAAGTTGCAGCTTGTAGCATGGATCAAATTATGCTACAACTATCCTTTTCTCTACCTGAATATGAGAAGGGCGTCCAAACATCTGTTTCCTTAAAGATTCAGTCAAGTAGTCACTGCACCCCAAATCTCGAAATGATTTTTTGCTAAAGAAACTATTGTCCTCATTTAAGGTCCTTTTCTTTCTGTAGAAATCATCTACTCTACCCCAACCCACCATGTGATCAACGGTGTCTTTTAAAGCAGAAAGATTTGGTGCGATAGATTTGGCATCAGACTTCTTAAAGTCCTTATTTCCAATGTGAAGCTGCACAGTTTCATCTCCAGCAGCTGCATTGGAGAAATCCTTTGACATCCTTCTCCTCAGGTTTTGCAGCAGAGCTTCTGAATCTGGTGGCTGTTCAGAACTAGAACTATCATTGAGAAGATCAAATCCTTCCTGCTCCACTAAATGGTCACCTTTCGGAATGACAGATACCCCAGCATTATGTGCATCGTGATTATGAAAATCACCATCTTTCCTTTTTGTATATCTTTTCCTCACAAGAGCTCTCATCTTATGGGATTTCAGTCTGCTAAAGTTTTGCCCAAGTGCCTTCTTAGATTCTAGATACCACAAAAAGATGAATGAGCAATGAAAGAAAGAATGCAGTTGAACTATTTGAGGGTGATGGTGATCTTGACTTTGATTTATTTATATTTTTGGGAGCTGGTGGATGTTGAATTGTCATACTAATATTCTTGCTTTGATAAACATGTTCTTTGGTTAAAATGTTTCTTCATTTCAAACTGGAAATTGACTCTTGAACTGAAACGATTGAACTTTTATTGCCTTTTATTCTTTAGGCCTTATTTTAAATATGAGTGTTATTTGGTTTGTCACAAACTCTAAACTAATGGTTACTAACAAAGAAGATTTTCATTTGTCATCCTTTGCGCCTCAGGCTCTAGGAAACCCTTTGCAACTTGGTTGTGCCTTGCTTCCTTAACAGCGACGCTATCTATTAGTAGTTGCTTCCATTATAGATGAAGGAAAAAATTAAAGATTGCAAGGAAGTACCATCTACTGGTAAATAAACTTGTAATTGGACATTGCAGTGGTAATACAAGTTCTGCAAATATATTCAATACTAATTTAAACATCAACTTGTGCCGGGGGTAAATCTAAAAAAGTTGTGCAAATTCACACTTTATTTGGTGACAACAGCCGAAGGTAAGACTGTTGCAGACTTGTGTTGAACTTCATTATAGTCTGTTGCTTAGAAGCTATCACAAGAATTAATTACTACAACTTGACTATGAAAAACAGGAAGACCGAATTCTACCTTTGAAGTTTCCGTCATCACGTCCGTTTGCTTGGTCGTTGGTGTTCCAGGCGGAGTGAATATCATTCGAAGGGATATCGGAGAATCCATCATCGTTCTCTACTCCTCCCCAAACGATGACTTTCTCTCCAGTATCTTTATCAATAAGCTCGTAAGCGCCGGCTGTGTCCAAAGGCCTGCGAGTATAAGAGCTTCGAACAACCACAATCGCCGATCTCCTCCCCTTGCAGCTAAAAAGCTTTGCGGCATTCATGATAGTAGCGCTGGGAACAAGTTGCAGCACCTTGGCTCTCCCCAGTTCGGAACTATGTAGTATAAATGGTGGCGGACCCATGGCGACCGCCATCACTGCAGCTTCGCTGAGCGACATCACTTGTCAGTTCAAAAGCTCAGCTCCAGTGTCCATAAGCTGGACGTTTGTTTGGCTATCCTGTTTTTTGCCAGATTTCTCCCCAAAGTCCAAACAAGCTCCCACTAGTACTTCGTCTCATAATCAGAGTATTTTTTTTAGAGATTTGGAAAAGTGATTTAGAGTAAAAATCAATATATATATACAGAGGACTTTTCATGTCCAGCCGGCCTGACGGGAACCGCCGTCTGGCCGAGGGCATTTCGGGCACTTCCCGATGGAAGTTTTTGATGAAATTTTTTGAGCATGTTCTTCATGAAGTCTAGTTTATCCATACCAAATTTCAGCTCAAAATTCGATCGGGAAGGCATTCAAATAATTTTGTGAAGTTAACCGGGCAGTTTATACATATAATTTTGTGAAGTTAAACTGCCCGGTTAACTTCACAAAATTATTTGAATGCCTTCCCGATCGAATTTTGAGCTGAAATTTGGTATGGATAAACTAGACTTCATGAAGAACATGCTCAAAAAATTTCATCAAAAACTTCCATCGGGAAGTGCCCGAAATGCCCTCGGCCGGACGGCGGTTCCCGTCAGGCCGGCTGGACATGAAAAGTCCTCTCTATATATATATATATATATATATATATATATAAGGGAAAGATCAAGTACAAACTGTGTTTATTGTGCAAATGTTTGTACGATGCACCTTGACGTTATTTGCATTGTATATTGAGGTTCAAAGTGTTGCATATTATATAGTCATAAAATAGCAGTTGCACATTAACGTTCAACGAGTTGCACCCTAGAAAAGTTAAATTTTATTACAAAAATGCCATCTTGCCTTTATATCCTTTAGATCAACTCATCAGATGGCCAAAATAAGTTTGTACTTTGTAAATTAAGCATGGTTTGTATTTAATCTTTATTCTATATATATATATACTAGCGCTTACTCGCACAAAGCGCGAGAGTGATTGCCCAATATTAAAATAATGTTCTTTTCTGTAAAGAACTATTACATGCGCAATTATTATGAGATTTTTGTAAATAGTTAATGAGATATCCTACTTATTCTAAAAATTGTTAGATCAATTATATTCCATGTCAACCATTTATTGTGTGAAAAATATGTCTATATGACTTTAAAGTATACAATTATGCGATTCCGTAGTATTTTTTGTTTTAACATATCATTTCGTCCCATAAAATTAAACTTGGTTAAGTTTGACTATTACATAGAATGATAAAGTAACAACTTTCTTCTAACATTCTTTCCTTTTCTTTCTTCTTTGTTTGATGTTTTTCTTTCTTTTTTCCCTTCTTGTAATTTCTGATTTCATCATTAATAAAACTCTCTTTTAAAAAAAAAAAAGTAACAACTTTGTAATTGAAATTTGTTTAGTGAAGAGATAAATAATTTTAGCCACATATTTGTTACTTAAAATGGAAATGTGAGTGAAATAATTGTAAATGAATAGCTTTTGAGCCTTGAATCAAATAGAGCTACCTAGACTTACACATCCATAAGAACATACAAAAATATCCATCATCATATGAACAAGATGATCTCTTAAAGAGAACATGCCATTGGGGACAACTTGATTATGACTATGTTTGGCACACAAAAGGTTCTAGCTTCTAGGTTCTTTATTCTTTAAAAAGACCTTAAAAGACGCTAGTTGTATGTTTGACATGACATTTTTTAAGAGTTTTTCAAAAATTAAAAGATCTTTTTTGAGATGCTACCGGGTGTAGCATCTGAGAAAAGCTCGTGACTTTTAGTATTAATTAGTCCTAACAGCTTGTATACCAAACCGAACTAAATCAAACAGTCAGTTTTTTACCAAACAGCTATCACCTTTTCTTTTTAAGATCTTTTTAGTCATTAAAAGCTAACAATTACTAAAAAGCTCGTAAAAGTATCTTTTTAGCTAGGTGTGCCAAACATACCCTATATATATGTAGCTGTTCATTGTGCTTAAAGGCTAAGTTGCGCAATATAACACATCTCAATCCCAAAATTTGTCACTTTGGTAATTTATAATCAATTTGCATACTTTACTCATGTTAGCTAACCTTGTATTACTTGTGGTGAACATTATGCATTTATTTTGATCTTTTCAAGGATACCTATATACTCTTGTATGTTATAAAATTTTAAGAGCTCGTTTGGTGATTATGTTTTCCGTCTTATCAGCCAACTTATAGCCAATTTTTTCATGAAACACATAACCTTAAATTTCACACAATGAATTGTGTAACAATTAAAATAAGTAAGGTATGCGTTACTTTTCTGGCTAAATTTGCTAATGTTAATGTAGAGGACCTTTTTAGTTAATTTAATATATAATTTTTTATTTATTTCATTAATAATTTTTTTTGAATGATGATAATTTTTTTTTTTCACAATTCAGTAGAATCAACCAATCTAGTCACTTCAGCCAAAACTTCATAAATTTCAGCAGAATCAACCGATTCAGCCACTTCAACCAGAACTTCATAATATTAATTGAGTAAACGATGATAGTAAAATTATTTGAAAATAGGAAAAGGAAACACTGTGAAAAGATATCAATTTAACAAGATTTATTAAGTGTGACACTACTTATTCTACTCAAATATTCAACTCTTTGAGCCATTACAAATTTCTAATTTCTAAATTAATGATGATAGTAACGTATGGTATTGCTTGAGGTAGTCATAATGGTTGTAATAATAATGTACTAACATATGTGACTCACAAAGTTAAGTTTTCTAACGGTGTTAAGGTTATTTTAGTCTTTGAGAAAAATAAGTACTACATTTTAAAAAGAGCGTACAAGCTTGTGTGCATACAAAGTATTGACATAAATTAAGGTTATTAACCTATATTCACAATTATAATGTTTTTAGATATATAGGGGAAAGATCAAGTACAAAGTGTGCTTATTGTGCAAATATTTGTACGATGCACCTTGACGTTATTTGCATTGCATATTGAGGTTCAAAGTATTGCACATTATAAAGTCATAAAAATAACAGTTGCACATTAAGGTGCAACGAGTTGCACCCTAAAAAGTTGGGTTTTATTACAAAAATGTCACCTTGCCTTTATGTCCTTTGGATCAACTCATCGGACGGTCAAGATGAGTTTGTACTTTGTAAATTAAGAAGGCTTTGTATTTGATCTCTATTCTATATAGGAAAAATTGACAAGAATAATCTCACCTTTCACGGGTCTTCTCATAATAATCCCACCTTTAAATAATCCCAAAATAATCCCACCTTTACACCTCATCTTCTTTCATTGGACCTTGACCAAGTTTTTTTACCTTTTTTAAAAATCTTATATAAATAATATCACATTTATAAGGATATAATTAAAAAGTGAAAGGTGAGAATATTTGTATAATTTTCAAAGAAAGAGTAAAAAACATGGTCAGGGTCCAATGAAAGAAGATGAAGTGCAAAGGTGGGATTATTTTGGGATTATTTAAAGGTGGGATTATTATGAGAAGACCAGTGAAAGGTGAGATTATTTTTGTCAATTTTTCCTTCTATATATATATATACAAAAAAGATCAGGTCCAGCCCTCCCCGGTCCAGCCGCCGTCCGAACTCTGCCTTTTGGGGCGGTTCCCGGTGGAATTTTTTGATGAAATTTTTTGAGCATGTTCTTCATCAAGTCTAGTTTGTCCATACCAAATTTCAGCTTAAAATTCGACCGGGAAGGCATTCAAATCATTTTTTGAAGTTGACTGCATTTTTATATGTATATTTTGGCGCAGTCAACTTCAAAAATTGATTTGAATGCCTTCCAAGTCGAATTTTGAGCTGAAATTAGGTATGAACAAACTAGACTTGATGAAGAACATGCTCAAAAAATTTCATCAAAAAATTTCACCGGGAACCGCCCCAAACGGCGGAGTTCGGACGGCACCTCCCGTCCCTCCGGCTGGACCTGATCACTTCTCTCTCTCTCTCTCTCTCTATATATATATATATATATATATATATATATATATATATATAGGAAATCTTTCCGGTAAGGTATACCTTACCGGAGCCGCCGTGCGGCCTCCACGTTTTGAGGGCCTTCCCGGTGGAATTTTTCGATGAAATTTTTTGAGCATGTTCCTCATCAAGTCTAGTACTCCATACCAAATTTCAGCAAAAAATTCAATCGGGAAGGTAGTCAAACGATTTTCGGAAGATAACTGCGTTTTATATGTATATAAAGGGTGCAGTTATCTTCCAAAAATCATTTGACTGTCTTCCCGATTGAATTTTTTGCTGAAATTTGGTATGGATGTACTAGACTTGATGAGGAACATGCTCACAAAATTTCATCGAAAAATTCCACCGGGAAGGCCCTCAAAACGTGGAGGCCGCACGGAGGCTCCGGTAAGGTATACCTTACCGGAAGAGCTCCCTATGTGTGTATATATATATATATATATATATATATGAGGGTGTTTGGAGCCCCAAAAATGGGCTTATAAGCCTGAACAGGGGAGGATCTATGTACGAGCTATGGTTGGCTGAAGCCCAGGGCCACTTAGAATTTTTTTAATTTTTTTAGTGTAAATTTTTTCATTTTTCACATTTAGCCCACCCCTCTAATATTTAAGTCTAGTATAATTCCTATTTAGCCCAGTGCATCTCGGATTCCTGGATCCGCCCCTGAGCCTGAAAATCAAATAATACAACCAAACACAAGGCTTTTGGGCTACTTGGGCTGAATTATCTTATCAGCCGAAAAAGTAATGCCAGGGGCTGCTTTTTGAGTTGGAAAATATTTTTATACCATTGGGAATCATAAATACCCTTTTACCCTTTATTTTAAGCCTCTTTGCTTCGTTGCCTTCGATGCGCCTTCTGCGCCATAGGTTTATCTTCCAGACTCGGCTGCTACATAGCTTCGCCATTCCAGAAGAACTCTTGAACGTTTCTCCATTTTTATCTAGATTAAAGGTAAGGTGATTGATAGCATCTTCATCTTCAATTTTTAGCATTCCAGACTTAAAATGTCTGGTGATTGTTATGTCGTTTGATTTTTTTTAATTAAAGGTAAAGTGCTCTTCGGCATTCCATATAATTCCTTGATTGTTCTGTCGTTTTTTTTAATATGAGTTCGTCAAGATCTTCTCTGCCGTAGGTGAGCAACTACTACACT